GTCTGCATCTGAACCCTCCTTATTTATTGTTTGTTTAAGGGACGCTGCCTGTCTTAGGCGGTCAGTGCGAATTCCTCAGTCTTACCAGTCATTGAAACTCATTGCAGCATGGCAATGGCTCTGTCTTAAGTTGCCGAGGTTGATTTTATTTTGAGGTTCATTTTCCCCTAAACAAAAAAGGAGAAGGAAAACAAATGCACTGCTGTGAAGTTGACTTTGACTCACAGTGGAGAAGAACCGCCTGATAGGGCTTCCAAGGCTATGATTTTTATAACTTTCTCCACAGAGCAGCTGGTAGTTTAAAACCGACACCCTTTTGGTTAGCAGCGGGACCCCTTAACCATTCAGCTATGAGGGCTCCTTATTTTTCTACTAGCCTGTGAAAACATCTCAAAAACACTCAAAATGGTAAGCTTTACTGTCTTGAGTGGAGGAACTAGTCATTCTTTTTCTCTTTCAATTAGACCATAAATGTGGAAGTCTGTAAAGGAATAGGGTGTTTCTAGAAACTTGGGGAGTGCCCCAGATACTCACATACATTTCTGCAGTCCAGGTAGACAATTTGGAATTTCTTGGAACATTGTTTTTTTATCTCATAATTATCAAAGAATTTGCTGATACACATTGCAAAGTTGTAGCTAGGAAGTACCATTAATGAATTAGATATCATGGTTTTGGTGGTGCCAGACAGGTCTCGTGCTGTAATCGAAAGGATGACCGATTCACTTCAGTTCTGAGAAAGTAGTGTGTCTCCCCAGAACAAGCAGCCTCCCAAAAGAATGAACTATTCTGAGAGAATTACTAATCCAGGAGATGGTCCTTGAAAAAATACCAGCCACTAAATTTGTTCACTTTTGATGGCATCTAGCATGGATTAACCAATTTCAGAGTTTAAGAGAAAACTTTTGCGGAAAGTGTTTCCCCAGGATCTTGTCTACCTGTAACTTGGTACCACACATGTTTTCACATTTCTAATTCTGTTTGTACCAGTAAGGGTATGTGGCCTAGGATTCAACAGTGAGAAGGAACATAGAAAGTTCGATTTGCTTATAGAGGAGATTCATCTTCAAAGGGGCAAAGTAACTGATTTCTCAAAAGAATGATAGTTTGTGATTCTACCAAGACTAAGGTCCTGGCGTGGCACTGTAGGTTAAACACTGGACTGTGAACTGCAAGATCAACAGTTCAACTCCACCAGCTGCTCCTCAGGAACCTTATACAGTTACTATGAGTAGAAACTGACTCAATGGCAGTAAAAACAACCACTACCACCCACCAAGACTAAGTTAAGATTATTAACAGTGAAAAAAACAGAAAAAAAAAAAAAAAGAAAGCATTATATGAGACCCTTTGACGTAAGATGAGAGGTGGTCATCCAAGGATGATACTGGATAAGAAGAGTTTCCTACAGATGAATCAATGGTAATGTTATCTCTGAATAGACAATAGCTTAGTTAAATGAATATAAGCTGGTAGCCAGAAAGTAGGAATCTGGAAATTGGCTGGCCATATGAAAAATACAAAAAGTGACTTGGTGGAATAAGCTACGGTGTTTTCATCTCTTCTCTGGAGTATTTAAATACCTTCTTAGCTCAAAAGAGCTAAATAGCCTCTTATGGAAGGGAAAGGAGAAAAACAGGAGAGTTTTTTTGTTCCACAAGTGATACTGAAAGTATTGAACTAGCAGACCAGAAAGGAGCCCTGGCAGTATAGAGGGTTATGCATTGGGCCACTGACTGCACGGTTAGTACTTCAATCCATCAGCAGCAGCTCCATGGGAGGAAGATGAGGTATTCTGCCCCCATAAAGATTTACAGACTCTCTTCAGAAACCCTACACAGGGTTGCTCTCAGTAGGAACCCAGTAGTCGGCATGCAAGCACCATCACCACCAGCATGGCATGAATACGAGAACCAAAACCCACACTGGCTAAACTAACTGCAAAGCAATTTTCATTTCACTCTATTCTAGCATGTGCTGATACTGATTAATCAGTTCTTGATTTTCATTCCTTTTAGATAACCTGTCTTTTCTCTCTGGCTCCTTTAAGCTTTCTCTTTACCTTTGGTAGTCCGGACTGTATTTCTAAATATTAAAATAGCTACATGTGGATTATTTCAAATTTATCCTGATGTAAAATGTCATTGAGCTTCTTGAACCCACAGATCTTGGTTTTCAAGAAATTCTGAAAAACTGTAGCCATTCTTTTTTTTTTTTTAATCTCATTTTGGGACTTGAATTCTTTATGTTATGTCTTCCATATCTGTTACTTCACTTTCATATTTTCTATTTATTTCCTAGGCTATATTTTGGTTGTGCTATTCAGATTATCTTCTGTATTACTAATTTAATTTTTTCTTAAAATTTCTCCCTTGAGTTAATTTCAAATATATCTTTGAATTCTGAAACTTCCATTTGCTTTTTAAAATTTGCTTTTAAAAATGTTTTGTACTTTATTCTTATTTTCAAACCTGTTATTTTAATAATGTGAAGTGCAAGTGTCTTACATTCTTCTCTTTGTTGTTAAGTGCCCATCGAGCTGGTTCCGACTCACAGCAACCCTGAATAGGGTTTCCGAGGAGCAGCTGGTGAGCTTGAACTACCGCTACCAACCTTGTGGTTCAAACTGACTTTGCAGTCCAGTGCATTAACCCAAAGCGCCACACCAGGGCTCCATATTCTTCTCTTGTTGTTGGTGTTGTTGTTATGTGCCGTGTAGTCGGTTCCAACTCAAAGCAACCCTGTACAGGGTTTCTGAGGCTGTAAATCTTTATGGGAGCAGAAAGCCTCATCTTTCTTCCATGGAACAGCTGGTAGTTTCGAACTACTGACCCTGAGGTTAGTAGCTCAATTCGTAACCACCATGCCACCAGAGCTCCTTCTCTACACATACTTATATGTGAATTATTTGTAAGTGTTACACTCTCTTTTTAAGCTGGAGTCCAGGTGTGGTGCTGTAGGATCAGCATTGGGCTGATAACCACAATGTTGGTGGTTCAAACCCACCAGGCACTCCTTGGAAACTCCATACAGTGTTGCGATGAGTCAGAACTTCCTGGGCAGCACAAAACAAAAATAACTTATGTGGTGCCTTACTTTATATATTTTGTGTGTGTGTTTTTTTTAATTATGTGTCAAAAAAAAAAAAAAAAGTGAAAATAAGAAATATAATTTTGAATTGTGCTATCTTCTGTAGGATGAAAGTGATTGTAGGGTATTTTGCAATGGGATTTTGTTCCCTGAAATTAATGGGGATAATGAAATGTCCCAGAGTAGGATCCAGATAGCAGAACTTAACAATTACAGATAAGATGGCAACACAGTAAGAAGAGAGCCAGGAAGGCAATCAGAGTGTTTTCAGCCACAGGGAAGAAATTAATTAGTTTTCTACAACTGCTATTTCCTGTAGACAAATTATTATCCCAGAGCAGAAGTCACAGGATTACAAGCCCATGACACTATCCTCCAGGATCAGAGTCTTCATTGACGAGACACTGGCATTCTGAAAACCCACTGTATCTCAGTTTTGTTGTTGTTATTAGGTGCTATTGAGCCGGTTATTACTTAGCAACCTTCAATAGGGTTTCTTAAGGAGCAGGTGGTGGGTTTGAACCACCAATTTTACGGTTAACAGTCCAGTGTTTATCCTACAGTGCCACACTAGGACTCTGTGTTTAAGATAAAACAAAATCAAGGTTACTATTTTAGTGCCGTGGGTTAATGCGCTGGACTGCAAAGTTGGTTTGAACAGCAAGGTCAGCGGTTCAAGCTTACCAGCCGCTCCTCGGTAAGTCTATACAGGGTCGCTATGGGTGGGAACTACGTCGATGGCACTGCACAACAATTTTAGCACACCCCAGGTGGTAGGTGGAGTTCATTTCACTACAGAGATATAATACAGCATAATCAGACAATAAATTGTCTCAAAGACGAAAACAATAAGTAAGGTTAAACTTACTAGGCCACTAGTACTTTCTGGTAGGAGAAGGGGATTGCCTACAGGGAGGGAGGGTGCACTGAGCCTGCTATGAGAAATGACCTTTAGTTCTACCTAAGTAAGGGGGAAGGAGCTCTAGGAGTGTAGTGGTGAATCAGGCTGCAAACTGCAATGTCAGCAGTTCGAAACTACCAGCTGTTCCACAGGAGAAAGAGGAGGGGTTCTGCTCCTGTAAAGATTTACGGCCTCAGAAACCCTGTACAGGGTCCCTATGAGTCAAAACAAACTCCATGGCACATAACAACCACCACAAGTGAGAGGGAAGAAATGCAAGGAGTCCAAAGGTCTGTCATTAGCAGAGGGACTTTTTAGAGAGAACATACACAAGAGACAGAATAGATAACATTTTGGGAGCAGACACCAATTAAATCTATAGATAGTATATTCCCTCAGGAAAGGAATACCAACACTTAGCTCCTACTTGCCATTTCTCCTACCATGCAGGGGTTCAAGCCTTCTTCACATGGCATAACACTACATCTAAGAGAGACGTGCATAAGAGTATAAAATTTGTAGTTCATACACTATGTTTAGTTTTGTGGGAGACCAAGCTCTAAAGCCAGGAGTGAAGCAGAAGGTCTGCTTTTGCTACTTGGCTTAACACAGTTCAACTTTACATTTCTAGAGAATTTCAACAAAGGAATGTTCTAAGAGCAAACATGCAAACTAGCAAACAAACTCAGTTTGTGGCAATCCCCAAATGAATCAGCCTTTCTCTAAGTTTCATAACCAGAGGAGGAAGATGGAAGAACCTACTCCAGGATTCCTGCTGAAATCAAGTCTGAAAAACAGAAGGGAGGCTGGCTTACTGGTAATTGTATTAGTTGTATAATTTGTTGCTTCCTTCTGAAAAAATATCATTAGGCTGTTCTGGAATAAGTACTTCTTAATTAAATTAGAGTCCGAGTCACTTCGTAGGCCCTTTCACTCCCCAGTTTCTTTGTCTGGCTCCATCTTGCTGTTAAAATGTTAAAATTCAAGGACCTCCTCTTGGGCCAAGTGTCAAGGAAAAAAATAACAACAAACCTTTCAATGAGATAAATGTTTTGCAAACTTGTGTTATAATCTCTTATTCTTTTTGTTTAATGAGGCTCATAGCGATCCTGTATGAGGTTTCTGAGGAGCGTCTTATGAGTTTGAACTGCCGACCTTTAGGTTCTAACCGACCTTGCCATTCAAACTGACTGGCTGAATACTTATTGTACAGCACCACACCAGGACTCCTCACTTATAAATACATACAGATTTTTCAAAAAACAGAGGTTTTTAAGGATTCCTGAAAATGAACTACTTAGCAATCAACATTCTTAATCTTAGTTCCTTTCAACCTCATTTGCTGATTGTCTACCTTTGGGAAGGAGCAAACGGTGGCAAGTCCTTACCATAGTGTTGTACTATGGTGTGAATGCTGATACTGACAACCGTTGACAAGTAATTAAATAGGGTGAGCTTGATGTAGGCAACAGCAACGCTGGAGAACAGGAAGCTCCCGAGGTACATGAGCGGAACAACACACCAGCCGTACAGCATAAATATCATCATTGTGTCCAGGAAGTGGTAATCCAGGACAAAGGCATCCACTTTGCGGTATGTGAACACTCCCTGAGACACAGAGCATAGCGTTACAAGTAAGGCAAAGGGCAAGAAATCAAGCCACAACACTTACAAAGGACTGCCTTTCTAACAGCATACAAGCATTCATTAATTGTTACTTACACTATTTTACTATTCAGTCCTTAAATTATTTTATACTTTTTGCTTTTTTACAAAGCCTTAATTTACGGGCTTAAAGTTAAGATGAATTCCTCACAAGATGACAGGAGCATTGGTAGTTACACATTGGGCTGCTCACAGAAAGGTCAGCAGTTCCAATCTACCAATTGCTCTGTGGGAGAAAGATGAGGCTTTCTGCTTCCATGAAGAGTTAATGCCTCAGGAACCCTATGCAGGGTAGCACTACTATGAGTTGGAACCAACTGGATGGCACACCGTCGCCACAAAAGATGACAATCTAATGAGCACAATGACAATTCTTCTCTTTTCTGGTTTTACTATTTGGTTCTGTTTAGTTTTTCCTTCACATGATCTAAGTCAGGGGTGGGGAATGTCCGGCCTGCGGGCTGTTTGGTCTGACCCTGCCAAGGCAATTGCAGTTCTAGTCATCACACTGTAGCAAGCTAATTTTTAAGTTGATCATTTTGTATGGCCCGTGAATGATATTATAAATATCCAAATGGCTCTTGGCAGAAAAAAGGTTCCCCACTCCTATAATCATATCTGGATTAAGTCCAACTCTGAACTTTCCCAGAAACAAACTCACTTACATCACTTCCCTTACATTACTCCTCACATTCAAACTCTGCCTTCTGGATCTCATCTGTGACTCCACAGTCCCACATCAATCTCAGCAAACCCAGAGGCCTCCTTTCTCAATGACAAACAAATTGCATTTGAGACTCAGGCAGCCAGTTGCCATGGGGTTGATTCCAGCTCATAATGAGCATGCATGTGCCGGAGGAGAACTGCTCCACAGGCCTTTCAGTGGGTGCTTTTTCAGCAAGTAGATCTCCAGGCATTTCTTCCAAAGTGCCTCTGGGTGGACTCAAACTTCCAATCTTTGTTAGTAGCCAAGTGTCGGAACTGTTTGTTAACACCTAGGAACTCCCAGGATCAAGTAAGGAAGTATAACTTCAGAGTGGACTAGATCAGGGATATAAGGGAACCTCTAGAGCTACTGAAGAAGATAATTTTCTAGGAATCGGTGTCAATAATTGGTAATCACCATTTACCCAAAGACGGCAGAGTTGCCCCTTTTGATTAATATGCAATTATTTAATGGGAGGACTAATAATCAGACATCAGGGTTAAACTGAGAACAGCCCTCTTAGAACCCAAGAGGTTCTTGAAAATAGTTTATATTCAAGCAAGAGTGTTTTAACGAAGTGTATGAAGATATTCAGCAATCTTATGTGAAAAAGCGTAAGAGCAATCACTATAATTGGTTTTCCTCCTTCTAGTAAGGAGCCTGAAATGCTTACTGAATAAATCCAATCACAAAGATACTGTGCACAATTAGGAGCTGCTGTATAATGCTTAGGGGTGCCCCAAATTAAAAGGTTGTTTAATGAAATCTCTACTTGGGAAAATAGAAGGAACAAACACTGTTGTTAGGCAGGTTATGTCTCAACAGAGTAAAACTGAAAATCTCTTTCACATGAACACAAATAAAAACCGCAGCATTCTAGTGCTCAGTGTTTCGTTCTGTGGGGCTTAGGGGTCGCTATGAGTCGGTACCGACTCGATGGCACCTAACAACAACAACGAGTGCTCTTTCTAAGGTTTACAAGTAAACCAACAAGTAAACCATGTGAAAGTAGGCGGGGGACTGCAGATGACTAATGGAGGAGGTGAGGAACGACAATCCCTAAGATAGGAATGATATGTATTACAGTAGTTAAAACAGATAGGGAATGGCACATTACAGAGCCATCGATGAAACGTCATCAAGAAAACAAAAATATCGTTAGTGCTTTAAATCAGTGTGAGAGAATGGTTATTAAAAGAGAGGTGTTAGAATAATAAAGTAACTATTTAGGAAAAAATAAAAAAGAATCTTCACCTGACTTCTTAGCTAAATGTAAGTTAATGAGTGAGGGAGAAATAGTGGAAGATGAAGCTGGTGAATGAAGTTGGCGGTGCCTGGTGAAGCATGAGCTGAAGAAGAGAAGCTCCCTGAAGACTTTCTAGAAAGGAATTTCACAGTGCTGAGCCAGGAGGGGTATTTCCAAAATGATACTGACCTAGCTGTCACCTTCTTTGTGAAGTCAATAGTTTTAACATTCACTATAATGATAAATCCTATATATCCTGGAAGGTGGAATTTCAAGTGTGTCCTATGGAATGGCATCTCATTTAGGGCACATACAGATAGGCACACACTGAATGGAGATGAAGCCTCACCATTCAGCATGGTTTGTAACATGACTCATGAGCAAAGTTACTTGTTCAACTTTCCAGAGTCTTCGTAGGAAAAGGGAGAGGACTTGACTAAACTCTACTCAAAATCTCCTGGTGAGTCAGCTAACACTGTAATGGGAAAGACAGTTCTTCAGGGGTTGGAAGCAGTAACATCCTTAACCTCAGTCCTTGTCTCTGACGTGAGCAGTCAGTAAAGCGTAGAGAAAAGGGTGAATCAGGAGCCCTGGATATTAGGCAAAATGCTGGCAAGTCCACAGAACCAGGGATAGAGGGTATCTCATTTCTAACAAGGGATGGCAAAGTCAAAGAAGCCAGCAGAGGCAAGAATCCATCTGGAGAACCCCAGCCTGAGATGAGGGGGAATCTTGGGTAGACAGGGTGGAGACAGACCAAAGACCCAAAGAATGAAGAAGCAGATATTAAAGAGTAAGATGCTAAGACAGGAGCTACTGCAAAATGAGAACAGAAAGGTGTTGTAAGTACACTGTTCAGGCCGACTTTGAACATAGAAATGACGATGTTTTCTGACTTGTACCAGTGAGATGAGCTTGGATCAGTAACTCACCTCTTTGGGCTTCAGTTTTCTTATCTGTAAATATAATGAATTATAACCACTTCAAAAAATTACTTTGGAATTTGAATAGCATAAAACCATTGTTGGTTGTCTAGTTGGTTCTGATTCATAGCGATTCTATCAGATAGAATTCCCATGCAACTTCAGAGAAGACTCACCAACAGTAAGCAGCAGGGAATGGAGAAGCAGATAAGATCCCATAGCAAAGCAGAGAGCCAGTAAGTCAGAATGTAGACTCCACTCACAAACTGGATGTGCTTTGCTTTAGAGATTTTCTCAGTCATTGTCTGAAGACAAAAGCTACTGGCCACAACAGCCATGCTAAAAGACAAACATAGTGCTATTTGTATTCCATTTGTAGGCCTACAGAAGATTAAATAAAAGCAAGAAAAGGCTGATTTCAGTAGTTATTTTTAAGTGTAGATGATCAGATAGGGCAGGGAAGATAATAAATTTCAATTCCAGTAATGGGAAATCATACATACACTACGTTAGAACCATACAGCGGGAGCGGTTGAGGCTTGTTGGAGACAGTGATTGAAGCATTGGGCCCAATAAGTGACATGAAGAGAATGTTGTCTAAAACTGCCAGGGATGTTGCAGCTGAATGGTATGCATCATTATTGAACAAAATAGTAAAAATGATTTTGTCTTGCTCAGCCTTTATGGAAAATGCAACGATGCAGAAGTTATGACATTCTTTACTTTCCAATACGTAATTCGTGACATTACCTAGGATAAAGAAAGAGAAAGAGTCAACATGTAAGAGAGCACTTACTATTTATGCTGAAGAGGAAGGAACCATTGTCCTCCTTTCAACTTCCGACAATGGTTGTTTCAAAGTTTCACCTTACTCCTCAAGACTTCTATCCCAAGACTAATCTCTAGAATACTCTCACCAAATGATTTACAATCAGAAAAAAACACAAAACACAGTAAGTTACTAAACATTTCTTCTCCTAGCTTTTTAAAAAATGGTTTTGCTATTGTAGGTAGTTTGCATTACCATCTACAGTTACTGAAAAAGTCTACTGGAATTTTCAGAGGGAATACATTGAATGTACAGATCAATTTGAGGAGAACTGACATCCTAACACCATTGGGTCTTCCAATCCATGGCACGGAATGTCTCTCCATGTATTTCCCAGAACTACTGCTACCAAGTTGATTTCTACTCCTAGCGATCCTATAGGACTGGGTAAAAGTGCCTCATACGGTTTCCAAGGCTACAAATCTTTATGGAAGCAGATTGCCACATCTTTCTCTGACAGACTGGCTGGTGGGTTTGAACTATCTACTTTTTGGTTAGCAACCAAGTGCTTTAACCATTGTGCTCCAGATATTTAGAACCTCTTTAATATCCCTCAAAAATATTTTGTAACTTTCAGTGTCTAAGTCTTGCATACTTTTTGGGTTAAATTTATTCCTAAGTATTTTATTACTTTTTATACTAATTGTAAGTTTTGGTCATTTGTTTTCTGTTCTTCCCTCCCCTTCCCCAGGAATTTTTAAAATCTTTCAACAAAAATCCAGTCTGAAAACTCTTTTGATTGGAGTGTTTCATCTACTTACAGGTAATATAATTATTCATATGCTAGGTTTTATGCCTGCCATTTTACTAATTAGTTTAATCTGTATTACAGACTTTCTGTTTCTCTGTTTACTACCATCTTTCAATATAAAACACTTATTTTATAGTATGCATTAAGTTCTTTTTTGTCTTCTTAAATTTATTTTACTTGCTTTCTCAGTGATGGTAAAAAAGTTTAAAATATGAATCTCAAAAAACAAACTAGTTTAAATGACAGCCAATTTCTGAAAATACAACAGAAAGTTTGCTCTATCTCCCTTCTTCCCTTCTCCTCTGTGATAGTACAGTAGTAGTACAAGTGGCATCTTTAGATGAGGGAGCTTTAAGTGTGTGGGAAAATGTCATTATCTTTTCATTCCATTTACCCACACTTCCTAAAGCCCCTTTGAATATGTCCATTGACACAATATTGCAATGATTTCTTTTCAGGTGTCTTTCAAATCAGGAGAAGGGAACAGTTAAAAATTGATGCTTATAGTGTATTTGGTATTTACCTGCATAATCATCACTCTTATTTCTTAATATAATTACAAGTTACTGTCCTGTCATCTCAGCCTGAGGAGTTTTTAACTGTTTCTTAATTGGCTGGCCTGATGGCAACACAGTCTCTCAGTTTTTATCTGTAAATGTCTTTATTTTTTCTTCATTTCTGAAGGAAAGATTTGCTTGATTCAGAATTCTTGATTGACAATTTTTATCCCACTACTTTCTATTTATCATCTCATTGTCTCAGACCTCCAGTTTCTGATAAAGAGTCAGTTATGAATCTTATTGAGGAGACTTTGTATATGATAAATCATTCTTTTGTTGCTGTCGATATTTTGTCTTAGACTTCTGTTTCATGATGATGTGTATGTTGTTGTTGTTATTAAGTGCTGTCAAGTTGGTTGCAACTCATAGCGAACCCTATGCAAAACAACGACCACTGCCCAGTCCTGAAACAACCTAACAATCATTATGTTTGAGCCCATTGTCCTACCCACGTATCAGTCCATCTCATTGGGGGTATTCCTCTTTGGAGATGATCCTGTAGGTTACCAAGCTTGATGTTCTTTCCCAGAAAAACATCTTTCCTGATAACAGGTCCAAAGTACATCAGACAGAATCTCTCCATCCTTCCTTCTGAGGAGCAGTCTGACGATATTTCTTTGAAGACAGATTTCTTTGTTCTTTTGGCAATCCACTGTACTTTCAATATTCTTCACCGATAGCACCACTGAAATGCATCAATTCTTCTCTGGTCTTCCTTATTCATTGTTCAGCTTTTGCATGCATATGAGGCAACTGAAAACACCATGACTTGAGTCAGATGTACCTTAGTCCTCAAGTGACACCTTTGTTAACACTTTAAAGAGGTCTTGTGCAGCAGATTTACCCAATGCAATACTTTGGTTGACTCTTGGTTCCATGAGCACTGATTGTGGATCCATGTAAAATGAAATGGATTTTTAGTTTACATGGATACACAACCGATGCTCATGGCATGATTGTGGGTCATGCCAACTTCAATCTTTCCACGTTTATCATGTTGTTGTTTATTGGTCTAGTTACGAGGATTTTTACTTTCTTTATACTGAGTTGTATTCCGTACTGAGCAGTGTGGTGGTTCTAGAGCAGAAGCTCTGGACTGTGAAGCACAAGGTCAGCAGTTTGAGCCCACCAGTCACTACACAGGGGAAGGATGAGGCTTTCTGTTCCTGCCAAGGTTTACAGCCTCCAAAACTCTATGCAGAGTCACAATGAGTCAAAATCAACTCAATGACACTGAACAACAAGAACAATCCACACTGAAGGTTGTATTTTTTTTTACTTTCATCAGCAAGTGCTTCAACTTATTTTTGCTTTAAACAGGCACCTTGTGTCATCTGCATATCTCAGATTGTTGATGAGCCTTCCTTCGATCCTGATGTCATGGTTTTCTTCATATAGTCCAGTTAATTAGACTGTATTATTTGCTCAGCAAACACAATGAATAAATATGGTGAAAAGCTACAACTCTGGTGTACACCTTTCCAGATTTTAAGCCAGGCAGTAGCTGCTTGTTCAGTTTGAACAACTGTCTCATAGTACAATTAAGTGCCTGGAATTTACATTCTTCACAATATTATCCATAGTTTTCTATGACCCACACAGCTGAAAGCCTTTGAATAGTTAACAAAACACAAGTAAACATCTTTATGGCATTCTCTGCTTTCAGTCAAAATCCATCTGATGTCATAAATGACATCCTTCATTCCACATCCTTTTTTTGAATTCAGCTTGAATTTCTGACAGCTCCCTATTGATGTGCTGCTGCAATGGTTTTTGAATTATCTTTAGCAAAATCTTACTTATCTTTTTGTATAATTTCTACATCCTGTTGGGTCACCTTTCTTTGGAAAGGGCATAAATATGGATCTCTTTCAGTTGGTTTTCTAGGTAGCTGTCTTCCAAATATCTTGGCATACACTAGTGACAGCTTCCAGCACTGTATCAGTTTGTTGAAACATTTCAATTGGTCTTTTGTGAATACCTGGAGCCTTGTTTTTTCACTAATGTCTTCAGTGAAGCTTGGATTTCTTCCTTCAATACCATCAGTTCTTGATCATCTGATAATTCATGAAGTGTTTAAATGTCCATCAATTCTTTTTGGAACAGTAACTTTGTGTATTCCTTCCACCTTCTTTTGATGTTGCCTTCATCATTCATCATTCAATATTTCCCCCACAGAATCCTTCAGTATTGAAAGTTGAGGCTTGAATTTTTTCCCCTGTTCTTTCAGCTTGAGAAATGCTGAGCTTGTTCTTCTCCTGCGGTTTCTAACTCAGGTCTTTCCATATTTCACTATCATTGTTCACTTTGTCTTCTTGAACTGCCCTTTGGAATTTTGTGCTCAGCTCTTTTATTTCATCATTTATTCCATTCACTTTACTCTACCTTCAGGAGCAAGTTTCAGACTCTCCTCTGACGTCCACTTTGGTCTTTTCTTTATTTCCTGTCTTTTAAATGAACTTCTGCTTTCTTCATGTGTGATGTTCTTGATGTTGTCCCACAACGCCTCTAGTCTTCAGCTGTTAAAGTGTTCAGTGTGTCAAATATGTTTCTTGGGATGGTTTCTAAATTCAGAAGAGATATATGACATATTTTGGCTCCCATGAACTTGTTTTTCTCTTCTTCAGTTTCAGCCTGAACTTGCATATGACTTGTTCCACAGTCAGCTACTAATGTTATTGAGTTTCTCCATTGTCTCTTTCACAGATGTAGTCAGATTGATTCCTGTGTGTTCCAGCTGGTCCTTGTGTATAGTTGCCATTCATGTTGTTGAAAAAAAGGTATTTGCAATGAAGAAGTTATTGGTTTTGCAAAATTCTATCATAAAATCTACAGTGTCATTTCTATTACCAAGGTCATATTTTCCTTGGTAAAAGTTGGTCCCTCAACTTTCACATTCAAATCGACAGTAATTATCAATGCATCTAGAGTTCATGTTTGATCAATTTCAAACTGTAGAATTTTTCAATTTCTTCTTTGGTGGTTGGTGTACATACTTAAATAATAGTTGTATTAACTCATCTTCCCAGTAGGCATATAGATATTACCCTATCACAGAGAGCATTGTATTTCAAGCTGGAACTTGAAATGTTCTTTTTGACAATGAATGGAATGACATTCCTCTTCAATTTATCATTCCTGACATCATAAATCATATGACTGTCTGATTCAAAATGACCAATACCCATCCTTTCCATCTCACTCATGCCTAGTATATTGATCTTTGTTTCATTTTCATTTTTGAACATTTCCTATTTTCCTAGATTCGTATTTTTTACATTCCATGTTCCAATTATCAATGGATGCTTACAGCTGCTCTCATTTTGAGTCGTGTCCCATCAGCAAATGAATGCCCCATAACTTTGATGCTCGATGCCATCCTATTTGAGGAGGCAGCTCTTTCTCAGAAGCATTTTGAATTACTTCCAATCTCAGGGACTCATCATCTGGCATTATATAAGGCAATGTTGTACTGCTATTCACTTGTTGGGTAAGCCTACAGCACCTGGTACTCCTAGGCAGTCTCTCATCTAAGTACTAACCAGGCCTGATCCTGCTTAGCTTCCATGATCAAAGGGGATTGCATGTGTTCAGGATGATGGGACAGCAG